CTGTTATCTGTACCTGGATTTGTACCTTCTGGTCTAGCAGGATTTGTAAGGTAGAATTGGGGTCATGATAGTGGGGGTGTAGTGGAGTGAGGTAGCATTAAAGAACTAGAGGAAAGTTACGTATTTCATCGGTGCTATACTGCACCCTGACTGGCTTGCCTCTTCATGGGTAATTATTGATGATCAGAATGTGAAAACTGGAAGCAAAGAGGAAGGATAGTGGTATCTCCAAAGCTGAAGATCACAAGATCAATTTTTAAAAATCATTTTAAAAGGGCTCAGAAGGGAAGGGGGAGGGAGGGGGAAAATGAACAAACGATATTGAGGGCTAATGTAGAGGGCAAATGTTTTGAGATTGATGAGGGCAACAGGTGTACATAGGTGCTTGACTCAATGGATGTACGTATGGACTGTGATAAGAATTGTACGAGCCCTCAATAAAATAATTAAAAAAATCATTTTATTGGGGGCTCATACAACACAAGGTCAAATTTTACAAGACCAACACTTTCTTCACTGAAAATCCTTTTCCAACAACACAAATGCTGACTATACACATGACCCTTGCCAGATGGACTGCACAGAAATCAAATTGACTACATCTGTGGGAAGATTTGATGGAAAGTTCAGCATCATGAGGCAAACAGACTATCGATTGTTCACATGCAAGTTCTGGTGGAAGTTGAAGAAAATCAAGAGTCCATGAGAGCCAAATAATTATGTGTATAGCCTGCTCTTGTCTCTTGGTCGTAGTGAGGCCTCTCTCTGTTCCAGGACGGGCTCTTTTATGGGTAAGATAGCAAAACTGTGCAATCTTTGTAGTGTTCCATACACCTTATTCACATGGTCCACTGCTACCGAGTCCCACGCCCTTTGTGCTAACGTGCTGTCGAACACCCCCAGTGAGCCACAAGCATCACACTTGCATGGTCGCAACTAATTTTTATGTGAGCAACGAACACTAAGGCTTGGAGGCTGTATTGATTCACCCAACTGTACTCACCACAGAATCAACAAAAAAGGTGCGAAGTAGTGTCTCATCTTAGTCTCTCTATGCGTTTCCCTGATGGTTGGTGATGTGGAGTACTGGTTCTGAGAAATTGTTGCTCTTTTTTTTTTTTCTTAGTCAAGAACTACTTATTTGGATGAGAATGGGGCCTCTCCCAGATGGTGGCTGGCTCAGGCCGGGAGCCAGCAGCGCCCCCAGGCTGGGAAGGGCACCTCCTCTTGCTTAGGTTGGTGAGGATCTGGCCCTGGTTGGGCCGGTAGAGAACCACGAAGCTCTCTGGAGGGAGAACTGGACCTCTGTTCTTGTCCACCTGACTCATCACCAGATAAGTGGCCCCTTTCTTCATGGGCGGACACTGCTTGCAGGGCACATAGAACTTCAGAGGGGTATCAGTGGGTGGCGAAGGCAGGTCAAGGGTTCCGGTTTTATAAACACCCATGAGACCGACAGTGATGGTCAGGCGCTCGCCTGGGCCCCGCACCATGGACTTCACTGTCGCTGTCACCAAGTTACTGGCGCAGAAGTTGCTCTGCAGGGTGCCTGTTCACCCGCACTGCTTTGGGCAGGGTGTTCTGGGTGCACCGGGGTCCACGGGGGTCCACGGGGGTCCACGGGGGTGGCCTCACCATCCCGGGAAGCCTCGGGTTTCCCCGCAGGTGGGAGTTGGGGCTTAGCAGAGGGCTGGACTTTGGGCTCGATAGGAGGCCGAGAAGCCGTCTGCTGTGACGCTGAAGTCGGACACGAACTGGACCAGCAGCTCGTTCCCCTCGGAGATGATGGGACCTGGGACCGTGTAGCGGCAGTAAGTGTCGGGCTCCACGTCAAACTTCCCGAAGGTCAGCAAGATGATCTGGTCCAGGCCGCAACGATGTGCCAGGAACAGCTAATGCCAGGAGGGTGGTCGGGTTCGGGCCAGTTGGGCGTGGTCAGGGTCCCCCAGGCCTTCCCCAGGCGCCCTCCGCAAAACTGGTGCTCAAAATAAATAAATAAATTAATTAATTTAAACAAAACAAACAAAAAACTGGTGCTCATCCCTATAACTCAGGCCGCCCCCTCCACCCGCGGGTCCGTGACCCATTTCCGCCTTGCGCCTGGGGCAGGCCTGGAAGAGGGGGCAGATGGGCGCGGGAGAGGGTAGAGAAGGCGGGGAGGAGGGCCTGAAGGGGCAGTTAGTGAGGGAAAGGGGTATGGGAGGTGTTGCTCATTTTTAAGTTCAGTAATCTTTTGTTGAGGGTTCTTTAAGTATTAAAAATGCAAATTCTGTCAAATACATGATTTTCAAACATTTCCTTTTTTATGGGTTGTCTTTTTCACTCTCTTGAAGCTATACATTGAAGTACAAACATTTTAATCTTGGTGAAGTTCGGGAAGATCTCTTTGTTTTCAGTTTTGTAATCTTGGTCCTTTGATCCACTTTTTTTAATGTATGGTGTGAAGTTCAGGTCCAATTTTTCTTTTGCACGCGTCTCTTCACATCATTTATTCCTCTCCAGCAAATTATTTTGGTGCCCTTATCAAAAATCTACTGACTAAAAGTGAGGTTTCCAAGTCTATTCCATTGATCTACATATCTATCGTTACGCAAATACCACACTTGCATTGATTATTGTAGCTTTGTATGAGGAGGTGCATTTTAATGATCCTTTTAGATAAAACACTAGTGGCCCAATGATAATTCTCATTTCATAATATTGTTATGAGAATTAAAGGGGTTAATATACTTAGAGTAATATCTAGATTATACTGATACTAAATAAATGTTAGCTACTATTCTTATGTCAAAAACAATTCACATGAAATAGTAACATAACCTGTAAGTTCTCTTTTCTGGCATAAAGAAAAACACATAGTAAGAAACCAAGATAATTTTATTTATTTTCCAAGATAATATTAAACACTGTACTACAGAATCTCAAAAAGCATGTCTATAGAAGGTTCAAAAAAACCCAAACAAACAAAAAACCAAAATGAAACAAGCAGCCACCTAAGTGAGGCATCAACTAAGTCCACATGGAAGCAGCACACAAGCCTGCGTGATCCAAGGACTGTAAATAATAAAACCCAAACCTTTAGAAGGGAATGGTATCGCAGCTGAAACTGTGAACACCTGATATCCAGAAGGCTGTGGATAGTGGAAGCCCAAAATGCATTTGCAGGGTTGTTTCAATTTAAAAAAAAAGCGATGGGGAAATACCTGTGAATTGATCCTCCAGTGAATGTCCAGACCAGACAGTGACGTGGACAGCCTTGTGACTATGCATTAGAAAGTAGTTTAGTGTAGATGCAGTTAAAGTTTAATACCTTATCATTTAGTCTCCCTTTTGACTCACTTCAAATTTGTTCTACTCTTTAATATTCCCCTTTCTTTTCAACTGAGGGTTTTCTGCTTTGTCATTGTTGGTGTTCTAAAAACATTTTTTGCATATTATAAAATCCAGGATAGGTAAGTTTATAGAGACAGTAACTGGATTAATGGTTTCTTGGGGGTATGACAGGGAGGCTGGGGGAAATAGGAGTTAATAAGTACGAGAATGAAGAAAATGTTCTAAATTGTGATTTCCCAACTTTTTGATATGATTGAACTATTGAATTGTATGATATGCGAATCATATGCCAACACAACTGTTAAAAATTGAGAAGGCCCAAATCCATTTGCTGGGTCCTCACATGGATTAAGCCTCCAGTTAATCAATCACCTCTAAACATAGTCCAAGAGTGAGAATAGCTTTATCAGTAAGAGGATGCTAAAGCCAATTATTGCAGATGTAGTTGTTAAAAAGTAATACCTTATCTTCTCTCTCCCTTTTGATCCAGAGCTTTGTTTTGTGTAGGTACTGTTGTTTTTATTTGCTTGCCTCCTGTTTGTGCTTTGCATGATTTTCTGTACATCAGATCCGAGAGAGGTGGATGTACAGAGACAGTAACTGGATGCTAATTGCCTAGGGGCACAGCAGAACAGGGGGAAATTGGGGCGCTAACAATTATGGAAAAAAAAAGTTTTGAAATTGATTGTGGTGGTGGATTGCACAAATGTTCTTAATGTGACTGAACTATAAAATTGCATTTGTCTGGGTGCACAATCAAATGTGGTGAAGCTGATGGTACCCAGCTATCAAAAGATATAGCGTCTGATGTCTTAAAGGATTGAAGATAAACAAGTGGCCATCTAGCTGAGAAGCAACAAAGCCAACATGGAAGAAGCATACCAGCCTGTGTGATCATGAAGTGTCAATGGGGATCAGGTATCAAAGACCCAGAACAAAAAATCTTATCATTGTGAATGAGAGGGTGTGTGGAGTGGAGACCCAAAGCCCAGCTGTAGACAATTGGACATTCCCTTACAGAAGGGTCACGAGGAAGAGATGAGCTAGTCAGGGTGCAGTATAGCACTGACAAAACATTAAACTCTCCTCTAGTTCTTTAACGCTTCCTTCCCCCCAACTATCATGGCCCCAATTCTACCTTACAAATCTGGCTAGACCAGAGCATGTACACTGATACAGATAAGAGCTCACAACACAGGGAATTCAGAACAGATTAACCCCTCGGGATCAATAATGAGAATAGATACCAGGAAGGTAAAAGGGAAGGTGGGGGGAGAAAGGGGAAATTGATCACAATGACCTACATATAACCCCTCCCTAGGGGGACGGACAACAGAAAAGTGGGTAAAGGGATACAGCGGCTGGCATAAGATATGGGGGGAAAAAGTATAAATTTATAAATTACCAAGGGTTGATGAGGGAGGGTGGGAAAGGGGAGAAATGAGCTGATAACAAGGGCTCAAGTAGAAAGAAAATGCTTTGAAAATGATGGCAACAAATGTACAAATGTGTTTGACACAATGGATAGATGGATGGATTGTGATAAGAGTTGTATGAGCCCCCAATAAAATGATTTTAAAAAATTGTATTTGTCAGTAACCTTTTAAAAAAGTTGGTATTCTGAAAACGAGGTAAATTTCCATAATGATTAAACTCATCAAACAGCGTAAACAAGAATAAATTTATTTTAATTTCTTTTAAAGATTTAATGATATACAAAATGTATATAGTATAATATCTTTAAGTAATACATTTTTTCTTTCCCCATCAACATAAACACTATTTAAACAGCTTATCTCTTTTTGCCTTATCTGTATCTATGAGATACACTACTGAATACAAATAAGCTTTACACTGCTCTCTCCCAAGTAAAATTTATAAGTAGTACCTAGAAAACAAAGGGGAAAAAAATCAAAGCATAAAACTGTAATCCATGACAAGCTTTTTGTTGCTGAGTATTCAATAATAGTGGGGGAAGTTAAGTTACATTTTTATTGGCATAAAGTTGCATTGCAATTTCCCGACATCACAGAATGATAACCCCACTCAGCTTCTTAAGTAAGTGCCAACGGTATTCATGTTCTGATGTTCCTATGCAATTTAAAATGTAAGCATTCTCATTTACATTTTTATTTGATATACTGGTCAATACAATCTTTGGGGATGTAACTTCCAGGCTGTCACTATAGACTGGGGTAGGGAAAGCACTCTTCGCATAAGGTAACTTCTTTTGAATAATAAGTTAAGTTTATCCTTTTATTTGCTTAAGGTTCTACCAGTCTACCATAGTTTTCTTCTATTTGACAGTGACTTGATAAAACAACGCAAAAACATACAAACAGCAACAACAACAAAAAAACTAATACTTTTGCACAATTTGGGTTTTATTTAACAAAAAAACTGGCTCTATCTTTAAATATGGAGCCTAACCCTGATTCATAAATAAAATTCCTCTTACGAAATGGTCTTCAGCTCAGGCCCCTTATAGAATATCCCTGTGAATCTAAAATTACAACAAGTATGCCTGCCTAATAGCCAATAAGTGTCTGTTGGGAACTCACACTGCTCCCCATCGAACACACCCAGGAAGACCTTTGATTTCCACTTAGCCAATGGCTGAATGATTTCATCTGTCTTGCTTAGTGGCAGTGAACCAGCTGCCAAATAAACTCTGCAGTGACACCTCCCTGTGATTAATGGTATTGCACCACTTAGGAGGGTATCCCCTTCATCAGAACAAAGTCCAATGAGAAATCCTTTGCTGAAAAGAGCCCTTTAAAAAGTTTTAAAAACTAATTTTCCTTTACCTTTAATATTTATCAGCTACCAGCTGTATCCTGTTGGGAGTTTTTGACTGACTAGTTTAAGCAGGTCAAAAGAATATTGACCTATCAACTGTGCTGGAGTCAGCAACTTCATGCTACACACACCTTTCTATATATATATTATCAAACAATTCCTCCTGAAGGAAAAGTAACACAGTAACATTTTTCATGAGGTGTAGGCAAAAACCAATGATTCGGTAATATTATAACATCAGACGAATAGAATTAGCTGATTCTGATTCTTTGGTAGAGTTTTCAGGCTGAAGAGTCCAATCTGAAGGCGCTTCCTGAGGAAATATAATCTTATCAGGCGTGTAATCATTCCTCTTCAGATCTTCATTCATGCCAACCAAAAAGAGAAGGAAAAAAAGTATTTCTTAGAAGTGGAGAATTGAAGAGTTGAGTTAATTTTCCTTTAAATATGTTAGATCTATTTTTTTAAACCAGGCTGTTATAAATTCAGTAGTTATGAAATTGATAAAGATAAAATTCAATCAGTCAACAAATAATTATTAATACTGACCATAAGTATTTTCTAAGTGAGTGATTCAGCAGTGCACAAGGCAAGCAAAGTCCTTGCGTGTATGCAAGAATTTACCTTCTAGTGAATAAAGAAAAATAAGCCAAAAGAAAAATGATATAATTTCTAGTAGCAAAAGTGCTTTGATAAAAAAGGATTGTGATGAAAGTCACACGAGAGAATGGAGGTCAGTGGTTCTCAACCTTCCTAATGCCACGATCCTTTCATACAGTTCCTCATGTTGTGGTGACCTCCTCCCAACCATAAAATTATTTTCGTTGCTACTTCATAACTGTAATTTTGCTACTGTTATGTATCATCATGTAAATATCTGATATGCAGGATGTATTTTCATTATTACATATCGAATGTAATTAAAGCATAGTGATTAATCACAAAACAATATGTAATTATATATTGTGAAATGTTTATGTTTTTCGATGGTCTTAGGGGAACCCTGTGAAAGGGTCATTTGACCTCCAAAGGGGTCTCGACCCACAGGTTGAGAACCACTGATGTAGGTGATTCTTTCAAATTGGGCAGAAAGCAGGAGAGGTGACAGCTGAGTAGAGACGTGAATATTGAGAAAATACTTATTAAAGCTCAACAGGAAGTGTTCTAGGCCGAGGGAACGTGACCTGCAAAGGCAGGAAGAGGGAACCGGACTGGTGTGCTCTCTGACAAGAATGGGGGGGGTGTAGCGAATAAGAGATCGGTGTGCTCTCCGACTGACTGACAAGAAGGGGGTGCGTAGTGCAGTAGTTAACAGGAAGACCAGAGCAGCAGGTAAGGCCAAGTGCTGGCCAGTATGGTCTGTGTGCCAAATGCGGCCTGCTCTTCTTTAAATAGTCTTATTGGACACAGCTCCCTAATTTGTTTAGACTGTCTACAGCAGGCAGTACAGCTGGGAGTAGCTGTGACACAGACCATGTGCCCCCCACAAAGCTTAAGTGTCCACTAGCTGGGTCTTTTATAGGAAAAATTTGCCAATTCCCGATTTAGGGAATGTGATCTAAGTATGCTGGGTGGCAAAAAGCTTCTAACTGAAAAGCTGGAAGTTCAAGTCCCTTTCCCTCTTTCTATTGCCCTGGCATCCCCTATCGACACCTGCCACCCATTATTGCCACTGTGCACGCACTCCTCCTGTGAGTCACAAACTGGGACAGATGCCCAACAGAAACAGTGAAACCACATCGGAAATAATGTTATACCCTTATATGATGATCTTAACATAAAACACTCAGAATGACTTAAGTGAGCAGTTTATATTCAATGGCCCAAATATATACCTGCCTGTGGGGGGAGGTCAGATGCGCAGGCATTCCCTCCCCTGAAGGCACTCAGTTGCCAGACTGCTGTCTCATCCCTCCACAGGGGTGGGCCTGCTCCCTGCCTCTGGGGACAATGGACAGGCTCCTGTAGGCGGAGTTTTCACCCTACTGATAATGTTCCTATGGAGACCCAGAGACCACCCCCTAGACCACCCTCTCATTGCTGTGTAACCTATAGTGCAGCCCCTTCCTGTAATGTATGTCTCTACCTGTAATTAGTGGGCTGGCTTGCCCCCAAAAGGTATATAGGTGTGAGCCAGCAATATAGAGCTCGCTCTCGGACTCTGAGCTCCTTGCTGCTCACTCCCTCCTCCTCGCTCCCTTGTTCCCTTACCCATCTTCCCCGCGTCAATTTTTTAACGACTACACCTGCCATTGTGTGAATTATTTCATTTATGTTAAACAAAAGTATACAATCATGGTCTTACCCTTTGCCAGAAAGTTGATTTCGACTCAAGAAATATCCCTGTGCAGGGTTTTGGAGAGTGCACATGTCTACAGGAACAGTCAACTCTCTCAGGAGTGGCTGGTAGGTTTGAACCACTGAAGTAATAATCTACAGTGCTGCCAGGCTTCCTTACACATGGCCTTAGGGGATGTAAACGACTTTGTGGCTGTATTGTGCAAAATTCAATGAAGTACTTTTTATCAATATGTGTTTCTTTACAGCTTTGTTCATATGTATTTTATCAACTTGTAATAATAGCAACTTTGTACTTCCTCTTTTAGTTAAAGTTATTAAATTGTAAAGGTCTTTTCCAATGTTGCCTACAGAAGAATGGTTTTTAATGTACAATAAACATACATATAATCATACCATAATTTACTTACCCACAACCATTTCAAAACCCCTTATCATTGGATGCAAAATGAAATATCTAAATTAGAAGTTCACTTACAAAATCTGCTTTGATAAAATATTGTCTTAAGTCTTTTCTCTGCTGCTAATATAAGAGTAGAGGCAAAGGGAAAAAAGTGTACCGGGTGCCTAATGTGCTTTCTTTTAGTTCTTAACAGTATCCTATATGAAACACAAGTTACACACTTTCTACCGATGAGGGCAAATGAACTCAGAGGTGAACTGTTGGTGGGTATGCCACTGAACACACAGAGTCCTTGGTCTTTTGGGCTATTACCAGACAAGACAGGGTCCTGGGTTCAGATGATATGAACAGCATATTTCTAGCATTTTTAGTGTGCACTGCTGATGTGCCTGAACACTAGAGTTAGGAACGTCCAGGAGAATATAACGTGAGAACAATACTCTGATAGTAAACATCATTCCCAAGACAATGGTTCCAATTCAGGCTATTTAAAAAAAATATGAGATACTGTGGTTCTAAGTATTTTACAAACACCTACCCATTTAATCCTCAGAAAACAAAAACCAAGCCAAACAAACCTTCTGTGAAGTCCTTACCCCCTGGAACCAGGCAGACTGGCTCCCGAGACCAAGCTATTAACTACAAAGTTGTCATAAGTAGCAAAGTGAAAAAAAAATCCAGCTCCCAGGTGGGGCTCATTTTCCCAGAGTCCCAAAGGGGATGCTGAGGAACACTAAAGGGTGTCTGTGTTAAAATCTGCAATTCTTCAAGTACCAAGACGATGGTGAAATGGAATATTCCTTTACAAACTCTTTGCCGGTTAACTTCTAAGTCTACTCACCTTTCAGATCTAAAAAAGTATGTCAGTTCCCCAGGCAGCACTTCCTGACCTCCAAGTTTGAGTAAACAAGCTTCCCTGTTGTTCTAGAGCCGTCTGCCCTCTCCTTTTCGTAGCTATGCATCATAGTCTTGTAACTGCCTGCAAACCTGGTCAGTATTCAACAGTGAACTAAAGTCATGCCTGCCTTGTTCCTATCACACTTTTAAGCCTAGAAAGTTCTTGGTATCTCGCAGATAATAAAAATCAGACTCATGTGCATTTCCCTGTCAGTTTCATCTATAACCAACAAGAAGCTGCTGAATCCGGCACAAGTAGAGGGCATTCTGAAATGAAACCTTCATGCCTTTGGCCTTATAAGGTACTATAATAATCAACTCTGCTAATGGTTATATACTATCCTGGTTAAGAAAATGTTTACCTGGGAGTTTAAGCTTTCTACAGCAAGAATTACAGTGATGTTTTGCTCTAAAATTTTTTATTGCATCTTCTCCTAGATTTGCTGGTCCAAAAACCATATCACAGGATCTGGAAATGGTCATTCAAAAAAATAAAGAAAAGAAAAACATATTAGAAATGTAGAATTTAAAATTATGAAAACATTTTAATGAAATTATTAGAACTCAGTATTACCTCTTTTCTTCTGCTTTTATCACAGATGGGTCAGTTAAATTTTCACCCACACCTACAAAAGTATATATATAAAAATATATAACTTATATAACCTAAACATTGGTATTTGCACAATAAAGTCTGGAGAAAATTTTATAACATCACCAACCATTATAGTATTATTCAAAGTAGTGTAATTTTTCTTTTATCAGAGGGCTCTATTAAAAGAGGAATATAAATCATGTTATGTCTTCATGCTACAGAATATAATGAAACTCAGACTTGAGTGATTATCTAAAGACTTCCATGATATATAAGTAGGTAAAAAATATAAAGTTATGTGTGTATATTACACACTCAGCCCCAGAGACTGGATAATTTAGCTACAATCACCTTTCCTCTCCTCATACTGAGGCTGCCCCACCCACCAAGTGTGGGGTCTCGTGCCTCTGCCTGGGGAAATGGGCTGTTAGCGGCTTTGACCGTGCCGATGTGACAGAAGGGATTTAGGTCAGCTTTGGAGCCCATAACTAAGAGCTCCTGGTTTTTCTCGGAGGAAATGCTAGCTGCCAGGCAAGAAGTCCAACTGCTTGAAGCTACTAGCTGGGAGGAGCCTTCTGCTAGTGGGTGCACAGGGAAACCACCTGGTGGAAAAGTGAGGGATTTAGCTGACTGACACTGACTGGACTCCTCAAATATGTCTCTAGTCGAGCGGTCCCAGTGAGTTCCAGCCGTTTCAGCCCTCCCAGCCGGTGACAAGTGTCCACACTCCCGCATCACATACGAATAAGCAAATAAAGTAGTGGCTGTTTTTAGATGGTAGTTTAATTTGCAGTAACGGATAATATAAACACCACCAGGAAATAAGAGAAATACTTGCTTTTGTGATAAAAGAATACTCTTTATACCTTTAAAGGCTCAAGGCTGCAAATGTGCATAGACTGGGGGATTTCATGTATTTTTGACTTGATTTTTGGATAAACATACAATTCATTCAGTCAGGCAAACAAGTTAAGCTCCTCATAGCTGTTGGCTACATATGGCTTCTACCTATGTAAGTTTTCTATTTATCATTTGCATCACATGAATAGGTGAGAACTTATTGCTCATATTCTCCTTAGTAACATGCTGATAAATTTACCTTGCAAATCAAGTACCAGCAACTCTCCTCTTGTGTATTCATAAGTCCAGTGGCTGAAGGCTAACATGATCTCTTCCAAGGTATTCGTGGGGATAATTTCATCACCATTGTTATTGTTGTATTTCCTGAATTCTCCAGTCATACACTCTTCCACAGCAAACCACTGTCCTGCTGAGTGACAGTACAGCAGGAAAACCTCAAGGAACCTTACAAGAAATAATGATAGACATTACCGCTAGTCTTGCTTGTAAAATTCTCATCTGTAAAACAGGTGAGTGATGAAATATTCAGCATCAGTCATGAAGAGAAAAAAAAGAAAATCCTGTTACGCATAGAATATTAAATTAAAAAACAAAAAAGCCAAAAAAGGTGAAAAGCTCTACCTTGGAGAATATGGGATGGATTTCGGTTTCATTTGGTTGAAGGCAAATGTGAGTTTTTGTGCTGCTCTCTGTTGCTGAATTTCCTATAGGAGGTTGGGGAGGGAGGGGGAACATGTTCAATATTTGGACTCAGCTCCAAGTAAAGCCCACTGCGAAGTATTCACTGTACTTACTCTGAGGCAGAGATGCAGAACGGTATCTTCTTTATAAACATGTGACCAGGTGTTAACCACCTCAGGAAGAAAAGATTTGATGATATACAGATGCCCTGATTTGAGGATATCATGCTCTGACCAGGCACACTGTACTTTGACAGCTCTTCGTAAGCCTCCTCCCATCTCCTCTTTACTTAAAAATTCAATTTTGGCACAGAGGCCTAGCTGTGACCAAGAAGACATGCTGTTATTTAGTATGTTGGGAGAACTCTCTTCCAAGCGATACACAGTGACAAGCTCACCTGCAACACGAATAGACACAGTTTATGTTTAAATGATGTCTTTTAAAAAGGACCAAGCAGAAGAAAATTTCAAAGGTATCTGTAATTGATTACTAGAAGATAAAATGACCAAGTTGTGATTTTATAAAAAGGAGTTTAAAAGCAACAAATGCTAGGAAACTCAGAATATACTGCTACAGAGATTGCTGAACTTGTGTTATTTTGATAGCTAATAGGCCTTTTCAAAACAACATTTTTGGAGATAATCCAGAAAGACACTACAATTCTAAGTACTTGTGAGTAAAGTTTGTTTTGGGTTTTTTTGTGAGTAAAGTTTTTATACAGCATGTTGAGTTATCTGCTGTACAGATTCTGAGATTATAAATTTATAGCATTCATCACTAGACAATGGATCAAGAGGTTTTTCCGAACTAGAATATACCACAGCTTCTGGATATGTCAGATAAACAAATTTAGTACCTACAATACTTCTTTCTTCCATTTATGTATGTAACAAACTATGATAGTACTTAAGACTACTGGAGAATTTATATGAAATCAGCACTTTTGAAATTGACCTGTCCTGATATGATCCTTCTTGCTTCTGCCCCACTCACACGCTATGTAATCCTAAAACCCAGGATTAGTTAAGAATAGTTGTTGCCTTTGATTTACCTCTTGGTGGCACAGGTGTGAATGGAATGCTCAGTGACAACCTCATCAAGTTATTTCTTTCCACAGCTGCGTAAAAATGAGAGAAATAATGAATTATCTGAAAGCCCAAAATATGACTAAATTTTGTCTTTAATATTACTGACCTGAATAATAGTAATTTGTATCCATAACTGGCTTAAACGGAGAAGCAAGACCTAAAATGGCAGATAAACACATAAGATCTTTTTGAAAGAAACAGTGTGCCTAAATTCTTTGCTATCTCTTATTAGGGGCTCTGGTGGTGTAGTGGGTACAAGTTGGACTGTGATCCTCATGGTCGGCAGTTTGAAACCAGCAGCAGCTCCTCGGGAGAAAGACTAGGCTTTCTACTCCTGTAAATAGTCACAGTCTCAGAAACCCATAGGGGGTCACTATGAGCCAGCATTGAGTCGACAGCAATGAGTTTAGGTGAGTCATATAATAATCTAACGTTTTAGAATAATCTTTCATGATACTTTTCCTCATAAAAATAACCAATAGAAGCATATGTCCCTTCTGTCCAGTATAACCCACTATGGCAGATGAGTGCTCACGTGTGCTCAATCTGGATAGAAATGGGTGCGTAAGCTTCACATCTCTAACTCCTATCTCAAGGGGAACAAAACGTCTCATAGGTGTTTAGGGATTGGGCTTGTGGCTGTGCAACCATTTTAGAACATCTACGAAACTACTATTTTGAAAAAAAAAAAAAAGAAACTACTATTTTGTTCTTGTAAGCATAGGACCCATGACTCGATCTTATATGATATAAAACATTTTTTCAAAGGGACCTTTCTCTCATTCCTAAATTATATGTGAGGAAAACCGTTAATTCAAATGGAGAAATTAGAAAAAGAAAAAGATGGTGAAGAAACGGATCTACTGTACTGCTGGTTCCTAGAATGTCTGGAGAAAAAACCTGTCGAAAGTTTTACTACCGCTATGAACCAATTTAAGAATGTGGAAGAGGGCTACCGACTCTCTTCTGGTTCCAAGCCATTGAAGTGTGTCTCAGGGAGAGGAGGGGGAAGAGGGTAATTTGGAAAGTAGTGTTGTGAGTGGGCAACATTTACCAGATCACGGAATGGGAATGTGCATGCTGCACTGGGCACCTGGAAAGTACTTTAGTATGAATAAGACAAAAGCTTTCAACACCAACTGTCTTATTAAAATCACCTGTGATTGGCTTGACTATATATCCATCGTAATAAAATATAAAAACTCCTTTCATTTCAAAGGATTCTCTTTCAGTGATTTAGTTACTCAGCCAAAGTTGCAAATTAATGTTAAAAAAAATACAGCCAGGCTACCAGAACTGGGAAATACCAAGTTGCATTGCCGGGGCGGACTTGGCTGAACCCAAAAGGTTGCAAGTTACAGGTCACCCAGACCAGAGAGGTGTCTCAAAAACCCCATGGATCACAGTTCTACTCGGATAAACACACAGGGTCACCAAGAGTCAGTCCATTTGACGGCATGTGGGTGGTGGCAATATGCCAGCCTAAGAAAGGTCAGTGGATTTTACGCAAAGACAATGAGAAGGAGAGGAGTAACATGGCCTTGTCTATTAGAAAAATCATCTTGGGAGACAAACTGACACACTAAAGAAAATGAGTCCAAACTGACACTTCTATACATCTGATTTTGAACACTTATTTGGCAGTAACTACTAAATATAAACATATGCATCCCTGCTGATCCAGATCCAATAATTCTACTCCAAGGTAGACACCCAACAGAAAATACACGCATACCAGGTAACATGTACATAAGAGCCAGATGTTAGAAGCTACTGAAATTACTATTCAAAAGCAGAATGAATACATTCATGTAAGAAAAAAATACTGTATAGTGGTGAGAATGCACAAACTACCATTGTACACAGTAATAGTATACCTTTTAAAAACATACGAGGGGGTACCCCAAAACCCAGGAATTTCCCCCCAAAGCTATGTATTTAAATTTTTTTTATAAAACAACTTTATCACCTTCAAAATACTCCCCAACACACTAAAAACATTTGTGAAATCTGCGATTCCATTCTTGGAAACATTTTTCAAATATCTGTCTGAATGGCTGACAGCACCTCCCTTGTTTTTTTTCTTCACCAATTCTATGTCATCAAATTGTTGTCCAAACAAAAAGAAGTCACACAAAGCAAGGTCAGGTGAATCAGGTGCATGGGGCAAGAGAGGCATGCTGTTTTTTGCCAAAAACTAGCACACTGAGATGGCTGCGTGAGCAGGTGAATTGTTGTGGCGGCAAAACCAGTCCCTGTCTGGCACAAATCAGACCTTTTTTTGTGGCACACTTTTAGGCAGTCTTTTCAGAACCTCTAAATAGAAAGCTTGATTAACAGTCCGCCCCAGTAGAATGAACTCCAAATGCACTATCCCCCTCACATTAAAAAAGAAAAACAAACAAACGAGCATTTTCTTGATCTTTGATTTTACTTGACGAGCTTTTTGTGGGTGAGGTGACGGCATCTTCCACTGGCTTCACTGATGTTTGCTTTTGGGGTCATAAGAATAGCACCATGTCTCCTCACCAGTAATGACCTTGGAAAAAAGTCTGGGTCGCTTTGGAGCTGTTTTTTTCAAAGCACAGCATGTTTCCACTTGACCGCTTTTTCCCAGCCAGTCAGAACCCAGGGCACAAATTTCACAGCCACCCTTCTCATTCACAAATCTTCTGTTACAATTCACTGAACTGAGTTCTAAGATGGTCCAGATAACTTCCCCAGCCCTTCAATGGTCTGTAGTCGGTCTTCGAGCACGTGCACAAATTTTGTCATCATTTTCATCTGTTTGGGAAGTTGATGGATGTCCAGAACGAAGTTTGCCATCAATCAACATTTCACCTTTTTTGAAACGAGAAAAACACTGGTACATTTGAGTTTTTCCCATAACGCTATCCTTGTATGCTATGTTCAATATCACAACAGTTTCTGCAGCATTTTTCCTGAGCAGGAAACAAAATTTCACAGCTGCACACTGTTCTCTGAAATTGGTCATCACAAAACACGAGTATAACTACATTTACAAAAATATTCACTGTGACCAAAGAGAACCTTCCCAGGCAATGCCACTGGGTGCACTAACTCAGAGAGTTGCTGGATGCTAACAGGAAAAATGTGTACTACCTTGTTTCCCCAAAAGTAAGGCATCCCCTGAAAATAAGACCTACTTACAGTTTTGCTTCTCGCTGAAATATAAGGTATCCCCCTGAAAATAAGACCTCCCGGAAAATAAGCCCCCCAAAGCTACCGTAACTCTGGACCATAGAGGCAGGCACCGCTGCACAGCTCATTGTTGGCCGCAGCGCAGCCGGAGCAGACAGGAAGTGCGAGGTCTCTTTTAATGAAACAATAAATGTGTACTGTATTCTTCTTCATGGAAAAATATGACATCCCCTGAAAATAAGACCTAGCACATCTTTGGGAGCAAAGCTCCACCCAGCGGAGCTTTTTTCCGTTTTCTTTTTTAGTACTCCCTTGTATGTCAAAAGGAAGTAGCCAGGCACGAGGGAGTACATATTGCAAGATTCCATTTATATAAAGTACCAAAACAGGTAAAACCCAATCTATGGCATTATTTAGGGACAAAACAAAAACAAAAAAAATAAAATCAATCCATGGTGTTACTCAGAGACAAACAATAAGGGTACAGAAAGGAACTGGAATATTGACAATCTAGTTTATAATCTGAATGGTGAGTTTACATGAATATGCTAACTTGGGAGGAGCAGGCTTGTGAAATGTAAGGGAGTACCCAAAAAAACAAAAACAAATTCTGGAATTGCACTGGGTGGAGCTTCCATAGTATGCATTTTTCTGCTAGGTGAGCATCAAACAACTCAGTCTGAGCTAGTGCACCTAGTGGTGTCACCTGGAAAGGTTCTCTCTGGTCACAGTGAATATTTTTGCACAAACCTCGTTTATTATGATGTCCAATTTAAGAGAAAGTGTGTGGCTGTGAAATTTTGTTTCCTGCTTGGGAAAAATGCCACAGAAACTGTTGTGATGTTGAACACAGCTTACAAGGACAGCACTAAGGGAAAAACAGTGGTTTTCTCGTTTCAAAAAGGTGAAATGTCAATTACCGACAAACCTCATTCTGGATGTCTGACAACTTCCCAAACAGATGAAAATGCCCACTTGGAGTACATTGGGAGTTCGTTCTACCAGGTCAGACTGTTAATGGCCTGATTTGTGCTAGATGGGGGACTGTTTTTGCCACCATGACAATGCATCTGCTCATGCAGCCATCCCAGTGCGCCAATTTTTGGCAAAAAATAGCATGCCTCTCTTGCCCCACGCACCTCACTTCCCTGACCTTGTTCCGCTTGACTGTTGTTGTCATGAGGAGGGACGTGAGAGGGCAGCAATGTGAAAATGTAGAAGAGGTGCTGTCAGTCACCCAAACAGATGAGTTTGAAAAATGTTGTCAAGAATGGAATCGCAGATTTGACGAATGTATTAAGTGTAATGGAGAGTACTTTGAAGGTGATGAGGATATTTGTAAAAAAATTTAAATACATAGCTTTGAAAAAAAAAATTCTGTTTTTTTGGGGGGAGTATCCCATTGTAGTTATTTTTCTATATGCATATTAAAAGTAATTTCAAGAAAAGTTTTAAAATGATAACAATCTGAATGGAAAGCAGGAGTGGAAATGTATAGAAGAATAGAGTGGCTGTATCTGGAGATATTTAAAAGACAAATGCAGATCTTTGAGAGTCAAAGAGCAAAGTGGGAAGAATAACTTTCTTAGATGCCATCTAACTGAATAATTCTATCCACAATGATGATCAGAAAAGGAGATGGCTAAATCTGGGGGATGAAGAGGTGGGGCCAACAAAGAACATCATTCCCATAGTGAACTACATGTTCATGAAAATGCCTAGATTAAAGGGAAACTGCCTGAAGAAAGAATTCTAATCTACTTAGATCCTTTTCAAAGACTAATTCAAAAATTCTTTACCTAGAATATTGTGGTATTCACTAGTAAAAATCATACATAAAATTTTTTAATGAAATATACCACAAGGACTCACCATTTAATGCTCCTTCTTCAGATGGCCTAAAGAAATACAAAAAAATATTTAGTAAGTTGTTTCACTATTTTAGTTTTGGCTGTTAAGTGCTATCAAGTCAGTTCCAGCTCACAGAGAGACTATACGGAACAGGGTGTCTGGTCCTGCACCGTCTGCTATGTCTCAGTCAACTGTTGCAAATATGCAATGTCAATTCATCCTGTTGAGGGTCTTCCTTTCAATCACTGTTTATAGACTATCATTTAACTTTTTGATTTTGTGAAGTCATGATGACTTACAATAATAAATTATTAAACAAATTCTGAGATTCAGATTCACTTTTATTTGAACATTGGCCATTTCCAAGTTTAGGACATTCTCTAACCTATACATAGAAAACCCAGACATGTGCACTTATTTTTATCAACTGCTTGTATCCAAGGTAAACCTAACCCAAATCAAACCAAACTCACTGCTATCGAGTCAATGTTGACCCTGTAGGGCAGGGTAAATCTGTCCCTCTGACTTTCTGAGACTGTAACTCTTAAGGAATAGAAAGCAGTGTCTTTCTCCTAAGGAGAAGGTAGTGGTTTTGAGCTGCCAACCTTGCAGGTAGCAGCCCAACACTTAACCACTACACCGTACACCAGGGCCCCTCATGGTAAACCTAGGTAAAAGCATTAATAGTTCAGTGCAAAACTGAAGGCTCAATATATCAGGACTTCTTTATTTGTGGAGATTCTTTCCAGAACTGTGTCTTCAGATGACTTTGCAGGATTCTAAAAACACTTTAATTAGAATCAATGGGCAAAGCATTAAGAGAACAGCTATTTTGGAAAACTCAATTTCCAATACAGAAATTGTTCTCCTCAATGGTGACTTTATTTATTTACAACAACTATATTAGTACTAAGAGGCCTGGTAGCATAGTGGTTACACATTGGACCGCCAACTGCAAGGTCAGCTGTTTGAAACCACCAGCAGCTCGTGAGAGAAAGACAAGACTTTCTATTCCTATAAAGAGTTAGTGTCTTGGAAACTTAGGGGCAGTTCTACCCTGTCCTACGGGGTCATTAGGAGCTGGCATCGACTTGATGGCAGTAAATTTATTGGTGTTTTTTTCTGGTTATCAGTACTAAGTGGAGCTATTTAATCCCGTGGAGTCAAGTGTAAATTAAGAGACAGGTATAGTAGACGGTAAGTGGACTGAAAATCAAGAAACAAGAGCCAGAGGTTTAGCACATTTACTTATACAGATATGGGCCTTGTTCAGACTTTCTGGATTTAGAAGTACAGGAATCTGAAGATGTAACTTTCACATTAATAGTAGAAATGTTTTCTTATACTGAATATTTTGACCCTAAGAAAATCTTTGGAAGACCAAACAAGAATTGGAGCACTTGAATCATGGGCTTTGAGAAGAAGACTGAGTATACCATGAACTGCCAGAACACTGGAAACTTTGCCTCGAAGAAGTGCACCCAGAATGCACTCTAGAAGTGAGAATGTGAGAATACTTGTTCTTGTGTACTTTGGACATGCTCTGAAGAGGGATCCGTCCCTGGAGATGAAAATCAGCTTAGAAAAGAGGTTCAGTCCCTTCCATGAGATGGTCTGACACAGTAGCTGCCAACCAGGGATTCAAACCGAGAACGGACTGTGAGATTGGCTGAGGACTAGGCAGCCTTTCTTTCTCTTGTATTCTGGGTCTCGATGAATCACTGCCAATCCACCAGCCCTAAACGAAAAATATAGTCCAAGCCCTTAGTCTACTGCTAATAAATCACTCTTTCTTCTCACACCTGTGTACTGACCAGTTCTACACTGCTAGGTAGGGTTCTGTAAGAAAAGGGTCAAAGGAATATGTACTTTGCTGTTGTCACAATTTACCTTATGGGCTTACTGTGTGGCTGAAAGTTGATCCACAGGGTGAGTTCCGTTCCAGGCTTCTCACTAGTAAGTTTGGTATTTTTTTTAATCGCCCCAATGATTATGCTATGTCCTTCAAGAAAATATATCACTATTACCCGTTGGAGCCCTCCAAAACAATTGCTATAATCTTCTGAGCTGACATGTTTTCAACAAGCACATTAGGTTCACTCAGAAACCACCGACTGGAGCTTGCTCTTTGGATAGTATTGGTAAATCTGGGACTCATCTAAGGTTAAATTTAGGTCTATAAAATTGTCCTCAATTTCTATCTTGCTTAAAACATTGTGATGAACAATGATCTACATGTAACTCCCTCCCTGGGGGATGGACAACAGTAAAGTGGGTGAAGGGAGACATTGGACAGTGTAAGACATGACAAAATAATAATAATTTATAAATCATCAATGGTTCATGAGGGAGGGAGGGGGAAAAGAGGAGCTGACACTAAGGGCTTAAGTAGAAAGAAAATGTTTTGAGAATGATGACGGCAACAGATGTACAAATGTGCTTGACACAGTGGATTTATGTATGGACTGTAATAAGAGTTGAAGGAACCCCCAATAAAATGATTGGGAAAAAACACACAAAAGAAAGTAATAAATATTAAAAAGTAGAAAAAAATAAAATGGACTGTAAGGGAGCTCAATTGATAGGGTGCTAAATTTTAACCTAACCGCATCTGCGATAATCTACTTTCTAAGCCATAGCATTTTCAATGACTTCATATGTACGTGAAAGTTGGACAATGAATTAAGAAGGCAGAAGAAAAAAAAAAGATTGTGATAAGATCAGTTCCTTGAGTTAGACAAAAGCTTGATCAGGCTGATCGGTTCACTTAAAAATTGAAAATGCTGAAAAAAAATGGAAAATGTGAACCATGTGAGGTTCTCACCTCAGTACAAATTGAATCAATAATAATTCTATGGTCTTCTACTATGGTCACCTCTCTTGAAGAGCTCAATTATGAGGTCTTCTCAACATTCTTTTTCTTGGTGAGGGGAGGGCATTCCCATAAATTTGTTGCAAAACATTGATGCTATAGGAAGATGTCCAGTAAATTAAAAAAAAAAAATGTATTATTAGCCCTGACCTCAAAATGGCTTTTTAGTAAGGTACAAACAATATTCTGCAGTCACCCACTGATAGCACAGTTGGTCCTAAACATGCTTAGAATCCAAGCACCCCCTTTTTGAAGGCACTCTATATGAGACCAAGGTCAGGGTATGAGGGCTTCTCTCTAAACAGAAGTATTCTAGTATTCATGGAGAGCAACTGCTTTACTCATCAACACACTTTCCAAAAGTGCTGATAAGTAGAGAAGTTATCAGTGAAATGGAAGTCTCAGATTACATCTTTTTTTTTCTTTCAGATTACATCTTTTAACAAAGGTATTCAAGACCAACTAGGACAGAAAATTATAAGAAAATTATAATTGTAGCAATATATAAGATGTAGGAACCCTGGGGATACAGTGGTTATTTGTTGGGCTGTGATCCACAAGGTTGGCAGAACGAGCCGCTTTCTACTTCTATAAAGAGTTAGTGTCAAAAACTCAAAGGGGCAGTTTCACCCTGTACTGTATGACAGGGCAAACTGTACCGACGAACTTTCTGAAGCTCTCTCCCTTTTAGTTCTATGTTACATTCTGGTCCAGTTTACTAATTCCTCTTTTTAAGTGTGCTTAATCTTTTAATCCTTATCATACCATTGACTCCATTGCAGTGGCAGTGAGATATAAGATGTTATCAGTATAATTCTATCAATAGTGTATGGCTATAATAGAATTCTAATTGTGGATATAATCAAAGTATAATTATATAAAATAATAAAACATTTCTTTACAAAATAATAACAAACCTAAACTAAGAGACACTAGAACTGATAATTACAAATCGTACAGGAACATTAAAAAGATAGAGCAGAAGGGGGAAGAAGACAATACTTAACAACTATGGCACTTTTCAAGCCTAGGATGAAGATTTACTTACATTTGTCTGTTAGACGGTTTATCTTGTAACCAGTCCTTCAGTAAAAAACAAACACATAAAAAATGTAAAGAAACATTTCTAGATGAAGCATAATTGTTTAACTGTTTTATTTACTATGTTTTAAGAATGAAGGGCTTAAAATATGAAATTATTGTTTCACAAAACTGAACAAAATAAGTAAATTAATTTAATTACCACACAGCTATTTTACTAGATGAAATCAAGAAATTTCAAGAGTTTTATAAAGAATATTTCTCACAACATAATGAAAATCTTTCTAGTTCTTTGTCAGCCTGCTAAAATTCATAATTGTTTCTAATGACAATTTTATTTTCTTAAATAATTCTATAGTTTTCAAATGTCATTTGCCAAAGGAAAATCACACCTAAGTATAAAGATGAGACACTAAAATAATGCAAAATTTGAACACTCAAAGACCACCATTAATGACATGTAGACATATTTCACTGCAGACCCTTTCCCTGGTTCTAGAAAGGCTTTTCACCCTGCACTGGGCTGTGATCTGCAAAGTTGGCCCTTCCACACGCACAGCTGCTGTAAGGAGA